TCAACAACGGGAGTTTTCGCCGTTTTCACGGTCTGAAAGTGAAAATTTTGCGCAAAAAACGCGTTTCTTGCGTTTTTTTAATGAGCGTTACTGACTCACAGTCGCGGTTCCCTTTTGAGCGATTAAACGCGTTTTTCCAAATGTTTGTCTGCTTGGGCCGGCGTCGATTTTTGAATTAGGTCTTAGTTTTTTATCAAACTGAGGATTTTTCGAGTTTTGAAAGGAAATCCATGGTTCAAGAGCTTTGGACGGTTTTCCCTGAAGTCTTAGCACTCTTCTTCCGTTAGGTTTGGGGCTGATTGTAAACATTGGCTATCGACTATGCTGAATCTTGTTTGTTTCGAGCAGATTAGATATCTATTTTTACCCTTTTCTTCTTTTTTGATTTTTTCTGAATTTGTTCCAGTAGCGTCAATAACAATACTTATACTGTAGATGTATAATTCGTCATATTTAACCATAAACATAGTGCTGATTAAAAACATCGAGCATAGGAAACTCGCAAGCTGCAAAGGTGAAAACTGAACAGCAATTTTTTCTATTCTTCGAAAAATTTTACGACAAATGGAATACATATTTTCTGTTTTCTGAACAATTCATTCTGTTTACAGCGTACTCTGATTGTTCAGTCAAAAAAGTTTCATTTTTTAGGTGAATATTTTTTCCCCAGGGTTTGTTTCCCAATGAGTGATGAACGAAGTGGCGTGTAGATGTGGTTCTATAATCATTTTTTTTCGACAATTCTTTTCTGCATCGTCAAATGCATGGGTTTAGGAAAATTCGCGAATTATCCCTAAATAAAACTCGGATGTGATCATATTTTTAAATGTTCTAGAAAAATAAATTGTCTGTGACACTATGGCAGATGCACTACGCATTAAAAAGATTATATATTTAGGTGAGAGTAACGATGTGCATCGCTCTAAAATCTGAGAATGACAGTAAAACTGTAGCGATGGAATAAACTGTATAACGGTCGATTGCCGCTAGAATCGATCTCAAAGTTCAAAGAGAGAGGACCAGGTGTTCCCACCATGCTCGACGAAAATGCTTAAGATAGGTGAAGCGAGCCTAGAAGCGATTACATTTTCTTCTTTGACGAATTCGTGTTGATTTCTTTGGACGAATGGAATGTCATTTTTTTGTGATTTAAGCAAGAATAAATATAGATTAAATTATATCAGGATCTATAACAATAATATTGACACAGATAACATAAAGAGATTAGACAGATATTGTGCCTTTTTCTTCTTTGCCATTTCTTCACTTTTTATTCTTGATCTCATTTATTTGTCCTATTGAATAAAAATGACACGATATTATTATTATTATTCAATTATTGTTGTTGTTATTGTATTTTTCGTTAAACTTGAATGCAAAGATGCATTGAATATTAGTGGAACAGTTGATGACAAATGGAAATTGATGCGTAATTTATTTGAACAAAATTTTATTCAACAATTGGATATTGGTGCATCGGTGGCCATTTATCATCAGGGAAAACTCGTTGTTGATTTATCGGGTGGATGGTTTGACGAGCAACAAACAAAAGTTTATACCAATGATACATTACAATTAGTTTTCTCAGTATCAAAAGGTATTGTAGCGATTGCCGTTGCTTTATGTGTACAAAATGGTTTAATTGATTATGATGAAAAAGTGATAAAATATTGGCCAGAGTATGAACAAATGGAGAAAGGAAACACAACGGTGGCTGATATAATGTCACATCGTGCTGGTCTACCCGATGTAAATGCTACAGTTAAGGAGTGGGTAAATTGGAAAACGATGATTCAGTTATTGGAAAAAGAGAAACCGACATGGCCACCTGGTACAGCACACGGTTATCATACTTTAACCTACGGTTGGCTGGCTGGTGAACTTGTGCGACGAGTTGATCCCAAAAACCGAACTCTAGGCCAATTTATTCGAGAGGAAATAGCAACCCGTACATCAACAGAATTTTATTTTGGTTTAGATAACGAATTAGAATATCGTGTTTCGCCCTTAGTCGATCCAACAAATAATGCATTCAATGAATTCAATGATCTAGTAGTACATCAAGCGGAAATTCCAGCAGCAAATGGAATAACAAATGCCCGATCATTGGCCCGTATTTATGCCTCGATTATCGGTGATCTGCCTGACGGACAAAAACGATTATTAAATGAAGCTACGCTTGCGCGAGCAATTAAGTCAAATACGCCTGTTAATGAACCTGACATGACGCTTTTTAATTCGACGACAGTATTTTCAATGGGTTTTATGTTATTTGGTCAACAAGACTCATGCTTACTAGATGCATTTTGTGGAGCATTCGGACATAATGGTGAGTCTAACAATATAGAAAAGAAAACAGTTTCATCTCTTTAGTTTTAACAAAACAGAAAATCTATGCCCTCAATGCCCTCACCTAGGGATCCAGAAAGTCCCAGGACTACGGCAGCAAATCTGCACCATAAACATTGTGAAAATTTATAAATTTACAAACACCCATGATAGTAAAAAGAGACAACAAAATCCTACATCAAAGAAATATTGTGTATTTCTAACGCAAGGAACGGACATAAAAGAGTTTCAAGACAAAGTGCACAAGTATATCACACTATAAGCGATGATGAGAAGATTAGAGTTGGGATGCTGTTCGAAATAGTTCACTATCTTTCTTATATATCGACAGTGATAAATGTTTTTTCTTTCCTTCCTATGTACGAAGTGACACGTTGCAAAACTAGACAAAATGAATCGTAGCGATTCTCCTTCATTTCATTTCTTTCGACTTTTGTCAACCTTGAAAATGACGACCTGGATTTTCAAAAAAACGATAGCGAATCATCGTGATAAAAAAGATAAACAAATAAACAATCCCTTTATACACTTGAGTGAAAGAACGAATTGTCATAATCAAAATGCAAATAGAGTGTGAAAGAAATGGAAGCAAAAGAAATGACGATTCATTTTCGTTTTGGCTTCGCAAACAGAACTATATATAAAAGACGAAAGGGGAAAGAAAAACTAATGTGCCGGCAATTTCAAAGGTACACACAAAAATAGATTTTCTTTAAATATACATGGTTGGATAGCCCGTGAAATGTAGATTTCGAATATCATCTTTTCATTCACTTTTGATCAAGTTTAGGAGAAATCTTCAAAATACTGAATACCAACCACCTCAAGAGTGAGATTTTGACACTTTCGAAGTAAACTTGAAATTTGACACAGTTACATAGGTTCTCGTTTTCTGAAACACACATATTGGGATTTAGCAGCTCAAAAGGAGTCTAGCCATGTAAATTCGAGAGTATTTTATCCATTCTAGAGCCTAAGCCAGACGCCCTAAGTCCGTCCATGGCCATTTTGAGACCTCTGTGCGCCAAACTTGTGTAGCCTTTTGTATTAAAAGCTTTCGCCAACAATTATACATCATTCGAACGGTTATTAAAAACCGAACAAAAGTATGGATGCGTTCGAAAAACTTTCGCTTCCTCGTGGAGAAAAGTCTACTTTACTGAACCAGAGGCAAAAAAGTCGAAATTCTGCCCGTCATTTGCGATTTTGCCGAACAAAAGTCAACTTTTGTGGAATAGGAATATCATATTCAGAATTAGGATCAAAAACTGAATCGAATAATGTGTATTTCGAAAATTTTTGACTCCTTGAATTCTTTTTGAATTCCAACTTCGACAAATCATCGGGATTTTCACCAAAACATTTAAGGAGTGAAAAATTTTCGAATAATTGTTGGCGAAAGCTTTTAATATAAAAGGCTACACAGGTTTGGCGCACAGAGGTCTCAAAATGGCCATGGACGGACTTAGGGCGTCTGGTTTACGCTCTAGAATGGATAAAATACTCTCGAATTTACATGGCTAGACTCCTTTTGAGCTGCTAAATCCGAATATCTGTCTTTGAGAAAACGAGAACCTATGTAACTGTGTCAAGTTTCAAGTTTACTTCGAAAGTGTCAAAATCTCACTCTTGAGGTGGTTGGTATTCAGTATTTTGAAGATTTCTCCAAAACTTGATCAAAAGTGAATGAAAAGATGATATTCGAAATCTACATTTCATGGGCTATCCAACCATGTATATTTAAAGAGAATCTGTTTTTGTGTGTACCTTTGAAATTTCCGGTACCTTACTTTCAGTCATAACACGTTGACAAGAACGAAAAAGAATAACGTTTATTCGAAACTTGATTTTGTGTGATATCGATATATCTTGAGACTTGCCCTCGACAGATGTCTTCTATTCCATATACAAATATACAAACAGATTAGTGTATAAAAGTAACCTAATAATAAATTCCGTTTTGTATTTTCAGGTGCTGGTGGAGGCATAGCATTTGCGAATCCAGGGAACAATCTTACATTTGCGTATGTTTTAAATAAACTTGATCTTAGACTCGGTGTATTTGATCCTCGAATAGCACAAATGTTAATTGGCATTAATTCGATATTGGGCAATAATATTCAACATACTACAACGGTTCAACAAACCGATATAGCTCACAAATGTTCAACAAACACCGTATTGTTTTTTCTTATTCTTATTATGTATTGCTTTACTTTTTGAAGCACAGCTGTAGACAAATATACGTTTTTCTTTCTTGATGTAAGTGAAAAATGATTCTTATTTATTACAATAATTAGAGAGAAAATAATTTTAGGATTTTGTCCAAAAAAATTTAATAAAATTCATCGATTAATTTAGTTAAATTCATTAACTTACTATTAAAACCTCTTGCGATTTCCTTGGAGATTGCTTTTCTACGCATCAATAATTTAAGTTTCGAAGGCCCGATTTTCGTGTGATGTTTTATCGAGGAGAACTGGAACTGCTGAATGAGAAATAAATGCAAGTTGTCTCTTAAATTAGAGTCATATGTATTCTGCATATGCTGCCTTCCTAATAGAATACGAACATCCTAAAAAAGTCTTATAGATTTTAATGTAACAGCAACTGGTTTCATGTCATTGAATGATGTGAAGTACTTTTTGGGTAAAAACGTGCCGTTTGGTCGATCTTGTGGTGAAAGTCCTTCTGTGTTTGACATAATTTCTTTCTCACTCAGTTAATTACCGTTAACATTGCAGTATATTCCTAGACTTATTTTCCTATCACCAAAAATCCGTTTATATTTCCGTAATCGTTAACAAAACAGTGAAACATTTTTTTCTTCATATCGGCCTTTCATGAGAAAAGTTGATAATAGAGCTTCTGGAAAACCTGACCGCTGAAAAACCAAGTCCTTCGTTTTTAGTGAGAAATTTTGCAAACCATGTAGCCTAACAGAGCGAAAATTCTGAGCAAAATAAGACTTCTCCCGACATTCTATAGTGCTTTTTCACGCAACTGCAGTCGATTTTGTACTAGCCACAAGGGGCGTGAAAGGTACCAAAATATCGTATTGAGAGTCAGCGTCAAAAACTGGGTCGAATGATATATGATTTGAAAGTGTCTGTTGATTTCCATTTCTGGTGAAAATCTCAATAAATTTCGAAACACACAAAAGTGAGATTTTCACCAAAAAATGAAACTTAACGGAAACTTTCAAATCATATATCATTCGACTCAGTTTTTGACGCTGACTCGCAATATGATACTTTTATTGCCTAAAAAATGAGTTCTGGTGGAGAAAATTGAGAATTACGGGCAGAATTCCGATTTTTTCGCTCCAGATTTAGCAAAAGTGAAATTTCTCAACAATGGAGAGGAATTTCAAAAAAAGCGAGTTATACTTTTGTAGTACGAATGAAGACCGATGGAATGGCGCAAGAATGAACGTTCTATCTTTTACCAAAAAAATCTAGATAGCTTTTTCCGACGAGCTCTCTGCTTTGGAGATATACTCGAAGATGAATTTTTCGTGCAATGGCATCACATATGAGAAGCATCAAAAACACATTTCGCAATTCAATTTTCAACGCTGAATTAGAAAAATGTTGTTTGAGAGTTTCAAAATGAAAGGAAGAAAAGTATTCAACTTTTTTCGAAACGGGAAAGTTTTTCGGATTTTATGACCCTTCCCGTATTTTCAAATTTTCGACGCGCAAGCGTGCACTCGAGTGAGAAAATTTTGCAAACCATATAGCCTGATAGAGCGAAAATTCTGAGCAAAATAAGACTTCTCTCGGCATTCTATAGTGCGTTTTCATGCAAACTGCGGTTGATTTAGCACTAGCCGCAAGGAGCGTGACTAACGGAGTGTTGAAAGCACTAAGGTACGTAAAAATCATTATATCGGACAAGTATTTCAACTGTTGATCCATGTGGGCATGTTTCTGAAAGACTTATTTATAGCTCATTTTGAAGCTCGTGAAATTCTCTATCGATTAGTATATCTATCGTAGTGGCTAGTTGAGAAACGTTGATCATAGGATCCTCACCGTGGACTAAGTCACCCGCTTTTCAAGGCTTTGCAGAAAGTATTTCTATCGATTAGTATATCTATCGTAGTGGCTAGATGATAAATGGTGTCACAGATTATCTTAGACTTTTTGCAAATAGGAGAATATTTTCCATAGACGGAAATATTTCTAAACATACTTGGCCTCAGAACGACTATTTCCGTATATGTGATATACAGAAATATAACGCAGAATTTTTTTTCTTTTGATCGGGATGTTCACTTTTGCACTCACTATGAAATTACTCTATATTCTGTCAACTTGACAGATTAAAATAAAACTAACCAAAATGTATCCCTACCCGTTTTCCATGTTAGTCTGAAGTACACAAGATATACTATACGCCAAGCCATTTTTTAGAAAAGGGTACAGCCTACTTTATGAGATACAGGGCTGTCAATAACGGAGCTGAATATGAAACAAATATGTACTTTTTCTGGTAATTAACAAGCGGAATCATTTCGTAAGAGGAGTTCTTGACTAGCATGACTTTTCGGCTTTCTCTTCGGGTCATGGTACTCTTAATTCTGCATCGTTTATGTCTTAAGAGTTATGTAAAAGTAATACAATCGAGCTAATCAGAGGTATTTTTAAATACATCACATATTGTTACATAAAGTAGCCAAGTTTTTTGGAATTCGTAAGTTATTATCAATAATGATAAATGATCAATATTTGTTATTCATCATTTCTTACGTCTCATACATTTTTCTTATATGTCTGTATAGAACTTTATTTCTGTTTATAGAAAAGAACAAATTTTCTGTCTTAAGCACAAACGGTACTATATACTGATGTACTTTCAGAAAAAGTACACTTTTAAGTTTTGAGATATGTATCTCTAAATATAGGTGATTAGCGTTTAACAAATCATATTTTCTTGCTAGTTAAACGCTCTTTAACCACGATGACTTTCCGGCTTTCTCTTCCGGCCATGATAGTCAGAGATAAAGTGTGTTCAAATGGGTAAAAACATTATAAAGTAAAAATCATTTTTCCAACAGGTCTTTTTTATAAGAGAGATTAGTGGAACATAAAATAAAATAGAAATGAACGTGAAAATTAGATTGAATGAAAATATGGTTTTTTGTCTAGAAAAGTGTATCCTTTACCACTTATCGACGATATGACCTTACGGGACTGGTACCGGTTTACAGATTCTTTTGAAGATACCGTTAGCTTATGTCAGGCGCTCGGTTTAATTTCATTTAAACGAAGTGAGCCCTGCAATAATGGACATAACAACTGGTGTATTGGAACATGTGGACGAGCAATCGATGATGAGTAAGGCACATTACCTAATGCAATTTTTTATTTCCTTTTTATTTTTTAGGATATCGTTGGATTTGTAAGGAAAGAAGTTGTAGACTTACTTGTTCAGTCCGCGATGGCACATTTTTTTCGGATTTCAAATTGGAGTTGAGCCAGATACTGGATCTGATGCTTTTTTGGTCACAAGGCGTCGATTGGCACAAGTTTCTTCGTCGCCACTGTGATTTCGCAAGTAACTCAACAAACGTCGATTGTAAAAACTTCTTGCGTGACATTTGCGCCGAACATTTCTTGCGCTAGCCGGCTGTTATTGATAGTGTTGGGCATGTCGTCGAAATTGATGAAAGTTCCTGCAGAAGGAGATGAAGATGCAAGCACATCATACGATGATACGGACGATGAATGTGTCCAAGAGGCTAATCAAGACCAGTCTGAAGATAGTGAACCTGATACTGATAACGACGAGGAAGATATACAGAACTACGATAAACAAATACATTTGTTATTGAAAAAATGTAGAAAATACATTAAAAAATCTCCACTCTTCATATTATCAAGTGAATTAAGAAAATTAGCCAATGAACAAGGATTGACTGTAGAATTGCTTCTAGATATGCGAATTCGTTGGAACTCCACCTTTAAAATGCTTCAACGGTTATTTCTACTGAAACGAGTCTTGATGAATTTTCATACCTTATCATGTTCTACTCCTGTGGGCGATTTCGAATTATCTAATGAAGAATGGCGTGTACTTGATACATTATCAAAAACTTTGGATCCAATTAATGATGCCACAGAGTTATTTTCAGGAAGAAATTACTCTACATTGGCTGTAGCATTTGCGGTTTTGAATTCATTAAATTTTTTTTAAGTAAGATACACACAAAGCAAAAATGCAGTAAAAAAATTTTTTTTTTTAGCTTATCATACATCATTCGATAGAGAATTTCAAGGCGGTCAAGAATATGTGTGCCTTGAGTTTTGTCAGCCCTTTTTTCCGGTTGAAAATTTGAAAAAGCTCGGAAGGTGCCGAAAACAGTCAATTTGGCAACTTTTCTTAGATTCCTCTTTTTTCTAAATATGTTACTAGATGGAATCTTCTAACTTAGTTTTTGTGATAGATCATAGAAAACTCAATAAGACAGTGGTTTTAAACCATTCTTAGAACAAACCATCGGCTCACAAAATATTTATCCAAGACCCATGCTTAAAAATCGAAACTTAATTTTGCAAGTCTATCACAGGTTTTTCTAGAGATGCTAGAGCCAATATGTTTACATGGTTAGATTCGTCCGATGCATAGCTCCAAAGTTATGAAGAGCTTTTCCAAAAATTCCTTTTCCTCGCTGAGAAAAATCGATTTTACTGAGGACACCTCCAAATGGGCCAGGTGATTTTTAGTTATTTTTTTCTGTTCTTCCCCAATATAGTCAAAGTATATTCATATAAGTTAAAATCGATGCCCAGTCCAACAGACATACTCTCAAGATCTTTAGAGGGTTTCTAGAAAACCTTCTAGGCGAGCTTTGACTGAATAATCTATGTTTTATTTTAAGAATCACTTTTTCGCTATATTTTTCTGAATCAACTTTGGATCTACCTACTCCAGGTCTTTGTAATCACTCTCTCTGTGTATTCGTACTATCTCTCACCCACACTGGTTAGTGTGTGTTTTATTCAATAAATCACTCCACTATATACAGGATCATGAAAGCAGGAGAGAGAATGATAACAAAGACCTGGAAAAGATAGTACTGAAGAGTGAGAGATAGTACGAATACACAAAGAGAGTGATTACAATGACCTGGAGTAGGTAGATCCAAAGTTGATTCAGAAGAATATAGCGAAAAAGTGATTTTTAAAATAAAACATAGATTATTCAGTCAAAGCTCGCCTGGAAGGTTTACGATAAAAAAATTTCACTGCAACTTTGATTTTCGTGCATCTTACAAATTCGCAAAAGTCATTTGAATACTTAATCAAAAGAGCATTATTAGAAAGATACGAATAATATTTTTGGGATAGAATGGATGATCAGCAGCTAAATGCAATGACAGTCAGTATGACTTCAGCGTCAGAGACCCACAAGTGTCTCCATACGTCGTTCAAATGTATACCATCTTAGAATGCTGAATTAGATTGGCAAAAAGGTGAAGTTCCGTGAGCTACACAACTAGTTTTTTCAGTCTCACGTTGAGGTAAAATATATCAGACAAATGAGTTTAGTGAATTCTAAGACTTTACAGAAAAAATTCTCTCAGATAACAAATTATCGTCTGCTCAAAATTTGCCGAAAAACCTGCACTCTCTAAAGAGACGAAACCGCAACTTTGAGCAACCGCGTTAAATAAACGATCGCGTAATGACACTACATTTACCGTAGATAGCAGCATATCTGAACCCAGAAACGAATATTGGTATGACAGCTGACGGAATATCCGTAGCCAAAGGACTGATCATTAATGAAGTAACGTCAATGGCATTGTCAACTCCTTCTTCATTCTGTAATGAACACAAAGCACCAATTAGTACTTCCAAATTCGGATCATATTTGAAAAAATGTGGCATGTTATTAACACCAACAAGAAAAGTAACACCACCTTCACTTTTAAGAAGTACGACTATTAAACAAGAAATTTCTCTGTACTCGATAATATCTAAAATGAATTATGATTTATCGTTATTTGGGTTAGAATACGGTCGCGAGCTACCATTATTATCAACCTTGATTAAAAAGTATCTAGCAATACCAGCTACAAGTGTAGCTAGCGAAAGTACATTTTCGCAAGCAAATAATTTTACAAGGAAAAATCGACTATCACTAACTTCAGCAACAACGAGAATGTCTATGTTTTTGAAAGACAGAGTATGAATGTTAGTAGTTTCTGTTATTTTGATTGTGAGTATTTCTGTGAAATTTTACAAACAAACACGTAAAGTAACGACATCAAATAAACCGTCGTATTCATACTGCACCGTAAAATGTACTAACATGCTAAAGGAGATTGAACGCTAGTAGATTAGAAGAAGAAGCTCAAATATTTTATACGGTTTGGAGTTCAAAAAGAACTGTAGTCCAGTTCAAAATCTTATGTTTGCGAAATGAAATACATAATATATCAACAAATCACAAGCGAACACTGAGCAGTTCCAGTTCAAAAAGCACTGTAGTTCCCGTTCGCGAAACCAGAACTGGTGAACCGTTCCAAGTTTCTAGAAACGCGAACTACTCAACCGTTCCTCGTTTCTAGAAACGTAAACTGCTGAACCGTTCCTACTTCAGCACAGAAACTGAAAAACCGTTCCCGTTTATTGAACGGCAACTGAAAAACCGTTCCCGTTTATTGAACGGCAACTGAAAAACAGTTCCCGTTGTCGAGAAACTGCAGTACAAGGAACTATGAACTGTCACAGACCTAAGCTAGATACATAAAACAAAACAAAAGTTCGTAAAAAAGATGAGGTTAAAAACAGTGAACATTCTCAAAAATTGAAACTTCTAGTAGGAGTCGCGAACCCTGTAAATGACAGATTACACGTATTCACGTATTTAAGAAAACCTAAGAAAAAATCATCTGACTGATATCTCTTCTAATGGATAATGTGATTGTTGATTGTGCCACTGTATCTAAATAATAGCAATTAGTCGATTTTCTTTTTGAATATGATCAAACAAATACAGACGCTGAGCTTTTATTGTGTTTGATAATTCTGAAAAGAAATATCGTAATTAGCTTACAAGCGCGATAAGTTAGAAAATTTGTACATAGTTAAAAGTTTAGCTAATCTGAGATAAACCTGTTGGCACGGTCAGATGAGTCTGCTAAAGGGAGTGAAATTTCGTGATGAAATTTTGACATTATCCTGTTTTTATATTTTTGAACGAAAGTACGTCTTCTAGACACTATAGAACGTCTAGAATTGTGAAGCAAACGTGTCTCTACTAAATGAGGCGTCTCGGAGCTCCATACGTTTCTTTGTTTAAACAATACACGGTATGTACTAAATGCTACTTTCTCGAAACGAAGTTTGATAAAGGCGTCTTATATTTTCCTTTTATTTTTGAAACGAAGAGACATACAGAGCCTCGAGACGCCTCATTTTGTAGAGAAATATTTGCTTTACAATTCTAGACGTTCCACAGCACTGCACATACTTCATTAAAAAGATATAAACATAGCAAAATGCCAAAAATTCATCACGGAATTCACTGCGGTAGCAGAGTTATCTGGCCGTGCCGCTGTCCTCCTGATTCAAAAGTAATTGATGTTGACGAACTTGAAGGTATTTCTTTTATAGAAGGGTGTAAATTATATGTTCGTGAATGGAGTGCCTTTGATTGTACATCAAAATGTGCTACTAAACATTGCCCGTGCAGGAAAATCGAATGTCGCATGTTAAATAAAATGCCATTCGAAACATGGACAATGTAAAACTTTATCTGGTGGTTTGAGTCCAATTTGAATTATGCCCAGTCATAATTGCGATTAGAATTATGACTACAACATGTCTGTCGGTCATCAGACCACTTTATAGAAACTGAGGAAACGGGTTTTCAGATCTTCCTCTGTCCTGACTTATCCAACAAGAGATGAGGTACATTCACTAACATGATTGTCTAATCGCTTGTTGGTAGTTTTTGTGCCACCTGAACCACAAGCGAGGCAGATATTTGTGAATCTTAAAGCCCTGACCCACGTAATTATCTACTTATTAATCTTTAATTCGGACGGTCATCTAACCAGCATGGACTAATTTCTCAAGGAATTTATTTAACTTCTTGAAGCTGTCAAACTGTTTTTTCGACTATTCCATCTGGAGCAGAGCTGATCACCTGCAAAATAAAATTTATCCACGTTGCAGTTTGCAGGTTACAATCTTTTGTTCTGCACAGGCAGAGGCTGAGGGGAAAAATTCTGCACTGCCCTGCCCTGCAGGCTGGCTGCAGGTGGACCCTAAGGCGAGGTATAACAATTCTTTTTCCCAGCGACCACCATCAGTCTGTATTACACACTGATAATTATAGACTGTATCACCAGTTACGATTCACTATCCTTGTTCTATATTTTTCTCTTTCTGTTATCCTTATAGTCGTTTGTCATCTTCTATATACTATAGGTAGTGCGCATAGTAAAAGAAACATCACATACAATAAGAACGAAATTCATTGTTTTTCTTTATTCTAAATTTTTCGTTTAGTTTAGTTTAAACTTTATTTATTTAAGAAAGAGAAATAAGAGTTCTACACAGATGCGATCTAGGCCATTATATCAGAGGAAATGTCATATCAAATGATATAAGTGATTACGGATAAAACGTTTCTCTCCTTCATCTTAAAATGTCAACAATGACATGACGATTTTTGAATGTGTTAAAAATAGGGAACGCTTTGTTAGCACTTGAGAAAAATGATTATTCAAACGCTCTGCTTTTTCCATACGATCTGAAGAATAGTCTGTTGACATGCTTCAGAATTCTATTTCGCGTAGAAAAAGAAACACTGTATGCACAGTACCTTTACGCAATAGCTGAAGTTAAACAGATAAGAGGCAATGTTTTTTTTCTTGCAAAAGTTTCACTTATACACAAAATTTTTCTATTTTGTAAAATTATCAGTTAATCTTAGCATTGCATATTCATAAATGTTCGTTCTGCTAATAAACTTGCTTCTTTATGAAATATTACATAGTCACGTTGTCTTAAATAATCAAATCATTGATGAATCATATAATTCGCTTTTCGACCAATATGAATTTCAAATAATATTTGACGAGGATATACTTTATTTGTACTAGTTGGATTAACCCTTTACCCCCTCTTGGTCACTGGAGTGACCATTTGTAGAACAATTGCAGAAACTAAAGGAAACATTGGATTCAAAAACGATAAGAACCTTTTTTGTAGCAAACTTCATGGGCAATTGCTTGGTAAAAAGAACATTTCTCTTCATTGCTTCGTTACAGAAATATCGGGTCTACAAAATCAATAATTTTGAAAAATGAAAAAAATCGAAAATTTTGAAACAAAATGTTCTCTACTCGTAGCCAACAGAGATTTTGTGAAATTGCTGTGTGATATTAGTTGATGAAGAAGCCCTCTGGTGAATTAAATATGTTTCGAAAGTTTCATAAGAGCTTCGAGAATTACACATACAAAGGGACACAATTGACCATGTAACCACTATGTGGCAGATGGAAGGTAATCAAGAACGGAGTTAATACATATATTATAAAGCTTAACGCATGACAAGTCGAAACCGTATTTATGAATAATTACATTTCTTCAGAGGTTATAAAACGGCTCAGAGCAAACTAGGCTATAACTTGACAACACGTGTAAAAAATACATGTATTCTTTGGTTTTAAATTTTAACGGTTCACTCCTTGCCTTTTTTCCGTTACTCTAGTAGCACGAGGTAGATGTTGTTTCGGCCTACTCAATAATGTGGTCAAAGAAAAAAAATCAAGTATTACAATGTAGTTCAATTCTCTTCCTCCACCACAGGATTGTGAGATCAATCAAACCGCCCTACTCTAGGGCCAGGACATTCGGTGGATCAGACCGCACCATTGGCATACTAGGGGGCTAGTACTTCATTAATAAAGTTATTTTGTCAGTGGCTCTTCTGGAACCGCTATGGGGGGGTAAAGGGTTAAAAAGGCAAACATTTTTACCAACAGTTTTTGCACCTGCACCCGCAGCCTACCGCAGTATCCTCTATTCTCAGAAATTTCCTAAAGCCTTTTTCGGGTCTTTTTGTTTCTAGATGTTATATGGTAATTATTATTACATTTTTACATTTATCGTCTTAACTGCTGTTTTCATCTATAGTCGAGGTTTCGATTTTCTTCTCCTTTACTTTAGTCATCGTCTATATCAATTTAAAAAACATCAACGTCCATATCGTATAATATTAATACGTCATGGTGAATCACTGGCTAATGTTGATAAAACAATTTATACACGTATACCTGATTCACAAATAGATTTAACAGACGCAGGTATTGAACAAGCACGTCAAGCTGGTAAACAATTAAGAGAAATTATACGTAATGAAACACTCTACGTTTATCTAAGTCCATATAAACGTAGTAAACAAACATATGATGCTATTGCAAGGTGTGTATTAAAGTGACAGTTATAGAAATGAAGTGAGAGATAGAATGTACTCCAGTTTCGCTCAGGGACCTAACAGCTCGTGTACGATGGATCCGATTGAAAGTTCTGACAGTGACCGTGACCTCTGATCGGAATTATAGAAGCTAGAATTACACGGATCGTAAAATACCTTTTAGAGAAAACATTTTTTTGACTCTCTGTGCGTAAAAACGGATGAAGTTAGTCCATGAAAATGTGTTTCCGCTTTTTTCAGTATTATGACAAAAATTTTTCTCATTTTTGAATTTTTATTCCGCATTTCTGATCTGAGCATCTAGAAACTCTGCTCAAGACTGTCGCAAGGAATAAGTGCCTTATTTAACAGACAGCTAAGAAAGGAAGAAACGTTTCTTGCTGCAAGAAATGTCCCACTTTCTTGTTTTTTTCTTGCTTTCTTGCAGCTTCTTGCATCAAGAAGTTCAACTAGGGACGGTCAATAACGTATACGAAGCTTTTTCAATGTTGAATTTCTTGCTTATTAATACACCTGGTGTTTAAGACTCAAACTGTGTTGCTAGATAGAGTTAAGTATCAGGCAATTTTTGACAAAGTTTGGGAGTGGTACTGTATTTGTTTTCCGCTCTACAAAATCCGGCATAAACAGTATCTTTACTATACTTTCTTACCGAGTTGAAAATGTTTTTCATCTCATGTCAGTAAATGGTCAAACTGCAAAGCAGATCGGGGAGTAAACCGTAAATAGAGTGTTTTCTTCAAATGAAAAGCATTTACAGTTAAACAAAATCTTGTCTCGTGTGACATTAAAGAAACAGAGGAACAAGAAAAGCAAAGAAAGCAAC